GTAGTTGCGAAACCAAGTCACTTCCAGTGAGAGCTTTTCTCGGAGCCTCCAGCGTTTCACTGTCCCTTTCTTTTCATGCCCTCTCCCTGCCTTCTCTCTCACTCTTCTTCCACTCTTATGTAAAACCTCTGCCTCGCTTATCCACCGTCGGATCTAAATACAAGTCCAGTCAACCGCATTGACGGTGGGGGACGATACCCTTTTCTTTTTTTGTTATGAAAGAAGATGGGGTCGCGCTCACGTTTTCACAAAGTACAAATTCAAAGTACTCTCTTCTCGTTTCCCGTCTCGGGTCACGATACTTTGGTTATCTGAGTTAGATTAAATTGGGCTTTTGCGTAGGTTTGATTAAGGTAGCTTATGATTTCCTAAAAGGGGGGCTAGTGGGTTTTGCAATAATTTAATCATTGTTATGATTATGATGTGTGTTATGGGTCTAATTAATATTTAAGATTTGACTAAGCATAGTTTTAGATTTGATGTGTGTTAGGGGATGAATGGGACCATTTTTGGAAGCTTGGTCCACCCCTGTCTATCATGATCGTTGTTACCCAAAAGGGAAATTGTTGCTCTTTTATTTTTCTGAAAGAGGAATGCTAACCATCTTCTCTCAAACCTTCTCTTTTGGATTTTCTTTCTTTTTCTCATGACATGTGTCTTTTTCTTTACACTTAAAATAATGTAATTAGGGCTCGTTTGGTACGGCGGACTGTTTTTTGTCTGAAAGACTCCAAATGGAGTAAGGAGAAACATTAGTTTAAATCGAAAATTTGGTATGCCAGAATTTTAGGATTTTTTTTCTTCAAATAATCAGACTCCAAAGGCAGTAAGGGATATAAATAAATATAAATAAAATTATGAACTTCCCTTGGAATCTGATTATTTGGGGTTTTTTTTAAAAATATTTTCAGTTGTTACTAAAAATGCTCTTTAACTTTATTTAGTAGTTAAAAAAAATGCAATTAATGAACTTCCTTTCGAAGGAAGTCTTTTTTCACATTTTTTATTATTTAATTTTTTACATGTGGTAAGAGAGTTGTGAAATTGTTTTTGAACAAATTGAAGGATAAAACATTTAATAAGGGTAAACTTGGAAAAAAATGTTAGCTTGTTTGATGCATTAGTTACATTGTTTTAAGTGTAAGGAAATGGAAACATGTCATGAAAAAAGGGGAGAAGGTCCAAAGGAGAAGGTTGGAGAGAAGGTTGCCAGCATTCCCCTTGTTGCAAATGACCTTTGATGAAATGATCAAGATGTTCGGGATACAAATATGCCCTCCAATCCAAGAATCGCTACTCTTGATCTTAATCAAGAGATTTAGTTCTGCAATGGTGAATACCTTAAGCATGTTAACATACTGAAATATATTCAGAATTTCGTAGATATTCAGAGTTTAATGATATTAAGTGTAAGGAAATAACACATGTCATGAGGGAAAAGGAGAATGTCCAAAAGAGAATGTTGAAGAGAAGTTACTAGCATTCCCCTTTCTGAAATTAGATATCTCAATCCCAACCCAACCAATCACATTAATTGTAGTTAATTAAGTTGAATCCGGATCCTTTGTTCTAATTTTCTCTGTCATCATCTGCTTTACTTTTGTTCTTCATACGTCACCTCATTAAAATTTAATTTAGAAAAAGAGGACCTGAATCCAATTAAGTTGGAGTAAATTAGGAAGCCTCAATATTTTTCATTCATTGCTGTTCTGTTCATCTCATTGCGTTTGAATTTCTATTCCGAAACAACTTTCACAAAGAATCATTACCCTTCAAAAGCTTATAGGAAAAATAATCCGTAACAGCGATTTTGGCACTCACCAAACTCCATTTTGGTAAACTCCACGTGCAAATAAGGATGTATGCATGAAATATTGGGCATTGCCTTTTGGGTAAAATAAGATTCTCATTTCATGCGCATTTCTCTACAGCTTAGTAAGTTCCTTGTCTGTTGCACAAGTGCAGGACCACTTGTCAGCAGTACTTCCCTTCCTACGACTAAATTTGAGAAATTCTTCAGTGTGATTGTATGCTACGTGTTATTATTAATTCATTTATATTATAATATATATTATATTGTAAGTTCATGCAATATTAATTGTCGTTCGATATTTGTCGGTGTGAAATTAGTAACGTCATGTGCCGGTGTGAGTAGTAACCTTAGAAAAGAAAACTTGTGAATTAAAAAACAAAATTTTGGGTGAGTACTTTGGACAGGGTACGTACTTATCTTTAACAGCTAGCATGTATGGTTCAGTACTGAAAAAATTAAAATGCAAAGGCTCTGGCATTGCCCTGACCTAGTTTGGTATATGCAATTCTCATTTGTAAAAAATAAAGAGTGATGGATGGATATGACGAATATGCCAAACCTTTGCCCCTTTCTAATATCAATTGTGGTTAGGCATACGTAGTCGCAGGAAAGGATATGTTGCTCTTTCTCTAGATAAACACTTGCATAAATTCAACTCGTGCAATTCATCTATTTTGTCACGTGTGCTGATTGTGATACTGGTCTCTGCTTTGTCGTCTTTGGGATTGATACCCGATAGATATGGATACCAGCAAAGCAAGGGAAAAGCTTGATATCGTATAAGATGATGATGATATATTTTACCGGTAAAAGGTTTATAACTTAAGTAGTTAAGAGTAGCAATCCTAATATGTTCAAATTATATGCTCCATCGTTGTCGGTTAAGGCATGTGGATCTGGGAGACATGATGTTAAAGAGCACGTGCTAAATTCTAAGAATTACTGTTACATGGAGGAATTAATTCAATCTAGCATCGCATGTGGAAAGTTACTATAAATGGTAATGCAAACGCCGTCCATTGAGTTTTGTTTTTTAACTAGGAGCTAGGAGTCTACCAGCCTCCCCTGCCATTTTATGCCAGATGCTTGTGCTCTGGAATTTCTATCGATTTTTTATTATCTCTTTGGGTGGATATATAACAGTTGTATACAGTACGTACTAAGACAGATGGCTGGATGTGGCACACCATATGATGATGTGATAGTACAAAGGGGTAAAAGAGCTTTGCTCCATACGCATTTAGTCGACTTTCAGCACTTTGTAAGATCCGCACTAACTAACAACTTTTGGTAGATGATTATTAATTAAATTAACATTTAAAAAACAGTGTTCATGCACAAGTGAGTAACTCTCAATTATCCAAGTCCATTTATGAAGATCTTATAATATATATATAAACCGCGCATGCAATTGTCCATTTACTTGGATAGTTGAAAATCATTGTGAGAAAACGTCATAAAATAAAACAATCCATATATGTGAGAAAACAATCGTTCATGCATGGGCAATTGTCCATACATCATAAAATTATTATAAATCCCACATTTGCAAAAGATTTGAATCATTGGCAAATAAAGAGCTTACAGATACTTAATGGTACCTACTATGAGCAGAGCCAACCTCGATGATTAAGTGTTTGATAACTGTAGATGTCAGAGCAGTTTATGGATTATGCATAAATATTGTCTTTTCAATGTAATGTAATATGGTAGATGAGATGGGTTGGTCCCTACTTAGTGGTTGATAAGTGGTTTAGTTGATTCAATGCTGAGTTAAGTAGTTGTTGTGACACATATATATATATATATCTCCTTATTTTATTTACCATAAAATAATATTCTCAAGTCTTTTATTTTGAGTGATCATAAATTATAAGGGTTTTGTAACATCCATATTACAATGGGTTTATAACTCAATTGATTAAATTAAATGCATTTATTTATGCATTCAAGGTTATTTATTAGAATATCATCTCCTTTAATATCGCTTGTATGTATGGAAGAGAGGGAAAAAAAGAAGAAGAAGTCTATACATATGCAAAATTGCAAACTGGTAAACAGCCTGTGCTTAGCTGCACAACATTAATATTTTGGACTTTTACCAGATAAAAAGAAAATGGGGTCGTGATTTTGACCATATAAATGAAGCCCAATGAAAAGTTGAGTGGCCCAGACACCTGGCTTCCCGGAACACACTGTCCACTTCTCCCCTCTCACTATACTAATAATTCAGAGGTTCTTGATCCAATTGGCATGCTTTTTCCATCAACACGAAAACATGCATCTAGATTCTCATCAATTATTATAACTATTTTTGAATGAAAGCTGTAAATCCTGCTTATTTGGAAGATAGAAGCAAAGAGAAAGAGCAATGCCAGACAGCCTAGCTGGACAAGCAGGTGGGGAACATATTTGATAAGCTTTTGAATTCTTCTCGCGACGGTTTCATCATCTTTGTGACCCATTTGGGCACCCATATTTTCAACACAACTGTCAGTGTCCATTACATTCTGTATGGAGTTAGCTAAGTTAGCTTAGCTGCCTGCACACTGCAAAACACTAGTCAATCCATCGGTCAACGGTAAGAGAAATTGGCTTAACATGCCATCGAAAACCAACCCTAGTTGGTTTAGTGGTGATACATATTTTTTCCTAATATCTTAAGTTCGAATTCGTAACCCCAGCATTAAAAACCAAAAAAAAAACAAACAAGATACCTAATAATTTTATGATATCATAAAATTTCAATACGTAGCTAGCCAATGAGCCAAGCATCTCAAAAGGGAAAATGTCATAATTATTGATGTTATTGAAGGCGACCTGATATTGAAGCATCAAGTAATATCAACAACTGGTTATCTGTATGTTACCAGTTGGTAGGCCACATATGGAGCTTCAAACACGAAATGTCATGCATGAGCATGACTCATACATAATTAAAAAGGGCCCCAAAATTATTAATTTGTAAATGACATAATGGTTTAATAAATCCTTCAACAACTAAAAAAGGTTTTTTAAAGAAGAAAAAACAAAATTCCGACCAAAAAACAAACAGAACGATAAAAAAGGGGTTATATCTCAAATAATTAAATAATTAAAAGTAGTTATCACTAAATCCGAGCTCCTTTATTCAAATTTCCCCGGCCCTAATATCAATTGTGTAAAATAAAAAATTAGCATAATAACTCCATATTTCAGTGGCGGGAAAGTGTAATGCGACTTAGCGGGGGCATTCGATGAAAATTTCAATCGGGCAAAACCAGAGACCGAAAATTAAATCCCTCAAAACTAAAAAGTGGCATGCAGTGCTGAGGACACAAACAATTACAATTTACACAGGTAGATATGGAACATTTTGGAGAGAAAATGGAGTTGCTTAAATTCTCCAAATTCAAGCTCCAGCTTCGTACGCTCATCACCGAAGTCCGAGAACTCAGAGTAAGAATTATCATCGTCTTCAACACCACTCTCTCTCTCTCTCTCTCTGATCGGTTTTTGGTGAATACACATCTCCAGGAAAAGGAACGCTCTGCCACCGAGCAACTTAGTCTTCTTATTCAGGTTAAAATTGAAAATCTACTTAAACTCTTTCTTTCAAATTGCATTTTACTTCTTCGTATTAATGAAGTGTTTGGAAACAGAAACAAAAGCAAACCGAGGAAGAATATGGGAGGAAATTACAGGAATCGCAGGCTGAATTAGCTTCCTCCAATGAGCTGCGCCAAAAACTCGAAAGAGAGGTTCGTCAAATTACGTAAAAATGTTTGCTGCTGAAGTGTTTGTCGAAATGCTTGTTAGAGATCATAGTCAATGTGATTTTAATAGAGCTGTTCCCCCCTCTTTTTTTTAATCCTTTTCTCCAATTGTTTTTGTGAATGCTTGTTCTTTCAGGCAAGGTACCTTCAGAATGACAATTCTATGCTCGAGAACAAGCAAAAAGAGTTGAAAGGAACGATACAAACCCTACTCCAGTCGAGGGACACATTCGTTAATGCTTATGAGGTTCGTGTGTGTGTGCCAATTAGCAGAGCCTGTCTCTGTGTATATTTATATTGTGTGGAGAGAGATTACCATGCAATATTGTTAATACTTTTTAATTCCATGGTGAATTTTTAATCCTACATATTTAACCCACACATTAATACTTTTTAATTCCATGGTGAATTTTTAATCCTACATATTTAACCGACACATTACTCACTGGCATCATATTCGTGTACAGGAATCCACTTGTGAAATGAAACGCTCAATTCAGTGCAGAGATAGAAAGCTTTCTGTCCTATCTGAGAAGATTAAATATCATCTATTGCTATTTGATTCAATAGAAAAGGAGGCAATGTCTGTAAAGAAAGTTGTGGATAACGTGCAACGTATCGTGAGTGAAAAAGAGGAAGTAGGCAAGGAGCTCTTTGAATTCTTAATGTATGCTTATATTGAATTTGAAGCTGCAGTTTCAGATTCCTTCTAACTTGCTGCTTTGTTAACAGTAGCTGGCTTAAAGAGCAAATTGGATACTGTTTCCACATTTGAGAAAGTATATATAGGTAACTCCGAGTTCTTATTCACCTGCATCTAATAGTAATCTAAGTACAAACCTTGTTGATTATTTGGGCTAGGTAGTGAAACTTGTGGGTCATGTCCAAGGAATTAACTTAACTAGGGGCTGTCAAAATAATAATAATAAATTTTTTGGTGTAACTGTTATGCCAGAATTCAACCAGTCTGTACCATTGTATATCAACTATGGATGTTGCAAATTAAGTTATTCTATTGTTCAAACAGAAGTTGTTGGATGTAATACTTGATACCATCAATAATTTATTGGACATGAACTATGTTATGCAGAAAGGATCTGTGACCTCGAAAGCAAACTGAATAATTATGAAGGTGAGACTCGGAGAAAGGATAGAGTCATCTCAGAACTAGAAGCACAGATGGAGGCAGCAAAAATTTGCAATAACAGCCAGACACAAATAGAAGAGATATCCACACCAGCATTTAACATTCGTTTGTTTGATTGATTCCTAAAGTATAACCTACTCTTTTAGCTTAGTATTTATCATCAACGCCTTGTCTTAATTTACCCTTACCTTCAGAAAATTATATCATCAAAGGATGTGGTCATACAGAATTTGATGTCAGAAAAACAGGTTTAAATTTCAGATTTTTTCATTATTTATTTTCAGCTTAGATCTTAATGACTTCTATTGTTGAATTCTAAACTCTACTTGAAATATTCCATGATCAGGCATTGCATTTTGAAGTTGGGAGTTTGGGGATCATCTTAAGGAAGATTCAAGACACTATTAGAAGTATGAATGAAGAGGTAGAGAACGTTTGAGTTTGATTTAAACATATGAGTTTCTGCTTCAAAACTTTCCACCCGGGACCATAATCAAGTTTAATTATAGACAGATACTGTATTGATGGTAAATATATATGGACTTAAGACATCTACCATTGCCTTGTCTAGAGATTAGGTATAACCTTCCATTCTGTCACCTGACTAATATATATACAAAGTTGTTTTCTTGAGAATAATTGTCCTTGAGCAATTCTATTGAATCCCACATTTCTAATTGGTAATTCTAATCAATCAATGTTATATGTGATATTTGGTGCGACTTCTTAAGTTTTTTGTTTTTCTCTGTTGTAATGCATCTAGAACCTTCCCTCAGTATTTTCTTGATGGATCTCTACCGAAGAAACTCATTGCTTCCTTTGTGGGAAATGTCTGTAATTTATATGCCAGGATAAAGGGGTAATTTCCTCAATGCTGGAACGCCAAGGAGGATGCAATATGATTTTGACGAAGGAAGATAATAGGTAGAACTAATATTGTTATCATCCATTCATGAGTTGTATAGCCGTTTCCAGATTTAAACTTACCAACCTGTTTCAATATGAGCTGTAATGTGATAACAGTAGAAAGACATCTTATTCTCCCCATTTAAGATCTATATCGTCAACTGCGTTTATTAGGTGATTGTAAATCAAAGGTATTGTCCAGTTGTCCTATACAAATCAATACATTGGAATGCAATATTGGCATTCCTGTTAAATCTCCCAGCAGGCATGCTTGCATCTTGCTTGTCATGCTTTCTTTAGAAAACAGGAAATTGTATAAACTGTTCTGTGATTGGGGAAATATGTTCTTATTGGAGATAATAAACAAATACCATAATGCAACATTGGTAGTCGTTTTGCTTTTGCTAGGTCTCGCTGTTATATTTTAAGGAACATTGTTATTGTCCTTTCAGGATTGAAGATGCAGTCAACAACAATGCAGAAAAGTCGCAAGAAAAGGCTTATGGGACAGGCGTTGGTGGAAATACAAGTTTTTCTTGTTCACCTATTTCTCAAAAGTACAAGTCAGCTGGCAACGACTTACAAGAGAACAATGACTTTGACTCCTGTGTGTCAGAGGCAAGTGAATTTTACAGGTTGTAAATTGAGAAACACTCTACTCGGCTATTCTATATACTAATGTAAGTGTTATTTTCCTTATTCAACAATGCACTGGCAGTTTAACTGTTCTTCCCCACAGTCAGCTTCCTCAAAACCTCAATCAGGAGCTACTCTTCCAAGTGCCTCTCAGTAAATGATAGAAAGGTATGAGGTATTGTCACCTTGTGTCACATTAGCTGCTTTAATGAAGTCAGGCTGAAATATTTTTTCTCAACGATACACACGACGATTTAGTAAAATTTAGAATGAATTATTTTGATGCATTAGCAAACAGCTCAAACTGGTTTGTTTGACTTGTTCAGCTTGCCAAACGTAAAATTTTCAATATTCAGGATAATTGCACAGCATCAACGCATATAGATTCAGAGTGCTCAACAACCCAAGATTAAGCCTCACATAATCCAAATTAGGTTCGTGGACAGTACCCATCAGATCATTTTCATCATGGGAAGCATAGCTGCATAAGTAGGAGGATGCAAAGCCGCTGGGAGTTGGCATCAGAAATTAGGTAAATTCTATAGCTGTCTTAAAATAGTAGATATTGTGGATGTAGAACAGGTTGGGCTATGGTGACTTGAGCCCACCCTGTTGTTTTATTTTATTTTTTTGGTGGGCTGACCTTTCAATGCTAGGCGGTTTTTAAGAATCTCTGGTGTTGAAAGCTTCAAGTTTTTTTAACTCAATTTCTATGAGCTCAGGCTGACCTCAGCTGAGCTAAGCTAAACCTTTGGATACAATTCTAATCGAAATGCTCTATGAGGTTATATTTTGAATCTAGGACAGTGGCCATTGTTACAAAATGTCAACCAAGTGAGTACAAAGTTCATTAGAGAAACTGAAGCTTAATCAAACATCTATTTCTATTCAGACAATCTTCCTTTTATTAGAGGAGGCTCTCTAGTCTCTACCTAAATGTCGAAAACTGAATTAAAGACAGAAAAATTAGATAAAAAATATGTGATCACGTGCTGAACATTTGCTCATTTCAGGAAAATCTAATAGGCATCACACATATAGGATAAATTAAATTGGGAAAATACTTCCCTCATTACCTATAAGTAGTAATTTCTACATTTCTATTAATGACAGTATGTCATGAATGTAGAAATTTTTCTTTTTGTATTTTTGTTGAATTCTTTTTGAACATGAAGAAGGCAAATAATATTCATTAAATTAAGAACATTAGGAAGGAGGATTGTGTGTGCATGGTTGGTCTGTGAAGTGTGAAGATTGTTGTGGATCGGTGTTTGTTAATGGGCATACATACAGAAAGTTAAACCTAGATCCATGTTAAGTTGGCGTGCAGCTTTGCCCGGACGGCACGTGAGTCAACTACTGTTTCCCAGATGACATTTAATGATTCCCTAATTCGAGAAATGCCCATGACAAGTAGTAATTAACACAGTCAACTTGGTTTAATGATTTTGCCGATTCTTTAACTTTTAACTTGTTTTGGTTGATCCATAACCATGAATCTTGAATTCTCTTTTCTCATCTCTTTGGGCTTAGCAACTTGGATATTTTGAAAAGTTAATCCCAGGAGGAATATAGAAGCTGGAGAGAAACAAAAAATTTAGGCTTTTTTCAGCTTACCCACCAAAAACTTTGGAGTAACGGCCACTCCAATAAATTTCCAAACAAAATGGACTTTGGTTCCCAATTAGGAGAAAAACTTCGTTAATTGAATTAGCGCCTCTAGGTGTAGTGCAAAAGAAGTCATGGTAGATTTGGTTTTGTTAACTTAAAGTTAGACCAGGCATTAAACTAACTTTTAACTTGTTTTGGTTGATCCATAACCATGAATCTTGAATTCTCTTTTCTCATCTCTTTGGGCTTAGCAACTTGGATATTTTGAAAAGTTAATCCCAGGAGGAATATAGAAGCTGGAGAGAAACAAAAAATTTAGGCTTTTTTCAGCTTACCCACCAAAAACTTTGGAGTAACGGCCACTCCAATAAATTTCCAAACAAAAATGGACTTTGGTTCCCAATTAGGAGAAAAACTTCGTTAATTGCATTAGCGCCTCCAGGTGTAGTGCAAAAGAAGTCATGGTAGATTTGGTTTTGTTAACTTAAAGTTAGACCAGGCATTAAACAAAGAGATGGAGGAATCTGAATCAGAATTAACAATAGCAGACAATGCTAAGCCCAAGACCATAAATGAAGATACTCAAGATTTTTTTAGCTATCCACCTTATATTAGGAATATCACTTTCTTTTCTTTTTCTGTTTTTTTTTCTCACAATAATTGCTTTACTTCTCTCGATGTTGGAAGAGATCACGAGTTCAAATATCCTCTCCATTAACTTAAAAAACAAGGGTTAACTCACTACTTATCAGGGGCGGCCCTTAGGTAGTGCAAGTGGCACTACCGCACAGGATCCTCAAAAATATTTTACTTGCATATTATATATATTAATATTATAAACATTTTATATATTCCAACGCGCAGTACATTGACACAACAAGCATGTGTTTGGCTCGTTTGGTTTCAAGCACATTTCTCTTCATTTAAGGCCTTTTCGAGTAGAAATAAAGTCCTTGGGTGTGCATTTTTATTTTTTACAGACTTTTTTTTTTCTTTGTAAAAACATTTATATATAAAAAAAAAAACCATCAGTATATATACCCTCATGCTTTCACCTCCAATCAACACCAAAAGGAAAAAAAAAAGTTAATCATCATCATCATTCCTCAATCTCTCTTTGGCTCTTTTGTTCAATCCTTTGAGAATTTTTGTTTTCATTTCAAATTCAGGAATTTCAACACCAAAATATGAATATCTTATGTTCTAAATTCATAAAGACCACTCAAAATTTGTGCCATTGTTGATGATGAATTTTAGTTATATAAAAATAATTGTTTTATGACATTAAGTTATGGAAAATTATTATTTTTACTATTTTCATATTAAATTATGTGAGAGTCTTAGTTTAAGTTTCATACAGGGTCCTTAAGATTTGCCATGCTACTTATTAGGTGTGCCTTCAACATTAATTAGGCTGTGAAACCACAATTCAATGTGATTAAAAGTGTTTACCTCTATACATAGGTCCTATAAGATTAAGAATTTAATAAATTTGTTAGATATCAACGGGGTTGTTTTGAACAAACTTTAGTCAGCTATTAACAAACAAAACATATTTACACTCATTACAAACTTTAAGTTTTTCATAATTTGTTCCACTACGAGGTTCAAGAAATATGAGACATTCATTTTAAAGGTGTAGTAATTGAAATAGTTGTGGCAGCAGCATTCACACAGGACGTGCAATGCAATCCCCATCAAAGGCCCCACTTCAATTTCTTGTTCCATACATAATGCGGTGATTGCTGTTGCTATCCGTGTCAGGCACGAACGCTTCCTTATGGAAGTTTTCGTGTTGAATGTTTGATGTTCGTATTCATTAATTGATTGCTGTTCAAAATTTTGGATTTACTGCTGCAACTTGGGTCCCTGCCATTGCCAAGTCACGTACACCACAAAATAATGTAAAATACTTTTGGTACATCCAACATTTCTAGTTGTATCTCATATTTTATTATTTAATCTAAAGTTGATATTTGTTTGGTTGGACAAAGCAAAGAGAAGTATCACTAAAAAAAAAATCATTGAATCGAAAAGAGAAGCGTATATAATATGAGCGATACTTTAAATAATATATAAGTAGATATAATATGAGTAAGACATTGTAGTTTTTAGCATTAGTTCAAAGTTTCAGTATAATTTATTTTTTTTTATAAAAAATTACTTTTGGTCTATGTAATTCACCGCTTTTTTCACTTTGGTTTTTGTCATTTCAATTTGGTTGTGATTTTCTGTAAAATGTTTCTAACGTCTGTCAGGTTTTGGTCATGTGCCCCTCACGTGGAGGGGCAATTTCGTCAAATCGTGCCCACCTTAAAGGTCTGAAAAGCTGCCCTCGAAAATTTTGTGGATTAGGGGGTTCTTCGAAAATTTTTAGTTACGGGTTTTGAATTGGTTCAATTCATTTATGGTTTAGATCTAGGGCAAGTAGAAGGTGTTGAAGACGGAGGAGCTGGCCTTTGTAGAAGAGCTCGTCGGCGGGGCAGAGGATGTTGGAGGATTTTCTAGGAGAGAGAGAGAGAGAGAGAGAGAGAGAGAGAGAGAGAGAGAGAGAGAGAGAGATGGTGAACTCGAAATCTGAGAAGGAGGAGCAAGAGAAAGAGTGGTTTGGGGAGGGCGACAGGGTTTGGGATTTTCGGTGGGGATGATGAATACGATGATGCTTCTTCACTTTGATCATGTTCATCTCATCAACTTTTCTCATCCTCATCTCCATTATATTTGTTCGAAGCAAAACCAAAAAGAAAAAAGAGGGAAAAAGAAGGGGAAACTCCATAATGGTTTTTGCGAGTTTGAGAGGAGATGATATTAATGGGTTTTGTTTTAAGGTGGAGTTTGGGTGGCGGTTCGTGTTTTGTACGTCAAAAGTGGTGTGGATCTGGAGTTGGGTTTTGATTTGAGAAGTTTATTTTTATTTTAAATTTTTTTGTATTATTTATATTTTAAAAAGTTAAACTTTTAATAATTTGTGGACCAAATTACCCCTGCACAAGTGACGGAAGTTACAAACATTTGACAGAAAATCATGATTGTCCTTAAATTGCTTGAAATTAGAAGTATATAGGCAAATTGACCACATTGAAACGACAATGACCAAAATAGTAAAAGTGGCAAACTACAAGGACCAAAAGCAACTTTTTGCTTTCTGCCTTTTTTTTTTAATGTCGTGGTTGATATAATTTATGATAATAAATTTTTTTATTCAATTTAAAATTTGACTATGTGTCATTTTCACTCAATATCAAGTCGCATTTGATACAATATAGAAAATTAGTCTTTTCTTCAGCGTACGCAAAACACAAATACAAAGAACAAAATTGTAGAAGTGCGGGCTTTATAAAATGGAAAATACTTGTCTCTTTCTTCTTTTTTTTGGTGAAAATCAAGGTATCCCCCGCATGATTGCGGGGACTAACCCCCGAGGTACTGTCGGGCGCAAAGCGGGGACCTCTCCCAACAAAGTCTGCTCTTTCTTTGGGAGTGAGGAATTCCTACTTTTTTGTTAATTACAATTTAAAATTTGTGTCAATATTTATCCTTTTATGTTTTTTTAAATAATTATTTTGAGATATAAATAAACCATACACAATTTAATTTCTATAAACAAACCTAAAAAAAACCCAAAAATAACAGCCGGCTTTATTTTATTTTATTTTGATTATTAAATTACTTTGATGCCCTATTGAGTGTTTTGGGTTTTTTATGAGCTTTTGGGGTTGGGCTTCTTTTAAGAAATCGATGACAGTTTTATATTTATAAGAAGTTAAAAACATTTTTGTTATGTTATAAATGGACTTTGGGTGTGTTTCTAAAGTTCATTTCATATAATGTATTTTTATAATTTGAGCCCCTATATTGGGTATAATAGTGAATCTCTCAATTATTTTTGCATATGTGTTAGATTGTGATTTACAGGAATAGAAATGCCTCCTTATCTTTATAAAATTAGAAATAGCATGGGTTGTATTTATTTGTTTTTTATTTTTAAAATATCTGGAGTATCAAAAGCAAATCAATTTTGGTTGGTGAGAATGAGTGGACAAAGCAAAAGCGTTGAGATCTTTAAAATGAATTTCCCCTTCCTCTCCGATCCTCCTATCCTCCTATCCACCTCTACCAAAAAAAAGTTCTTCTTTTCGTTTGTTTCTCTTTTATTTATTTATTTAGCTTTTATTTTTTCCTTTATTATTAAAACAAATAATAATATATTTTAATCATTTCAACAGAAGAGGTACATAGAAGCCGACCTTGTTGTAATTGTCGAAGAAGAAACTGTGAGGCCATGGCAATTCGTGGACTGACCCAGAGGAGCTGGAAAGAATAGACGACACATCGTACACCAAGAAACTTGTACAATGAACAACGTAAGCTAAACGCCAACAATAACATCACACGTTCCCGTGTTAAGGGATCACCATATTGCGCCACGTGGAAAAATGATTGTCGTTATGTGGGCCCCATCTTCTTCAACCTCCCCCACCCCACCCCAACAATGACCAGCCGCTATTAACTCATGTCATGAGATGCCTTTGTGCTTGTTTGGCCTTAGCTGCCACACCACACCATAACTGCCGTCACTGCCTTTGTTTCTTTTATTTGACTGCAATAAAAGCTTTCTCCTTAAGCTTTGGTTTCACAAAAGAAAAGAACAAAATAAAAAACAAAAAACAAAAAACAAAAAACAAAAAAAACAATAAACAGAGCAACAACCAACAAACGGTAGCTCCCTTCACCTCTCTCTCTAACTATAATTATGTTATGGTGACGGTGTTTGTTGATCTCTGAGTGAGTGAGAAAGAAAGAGGGGGGGCATGGGGGCGTGTGTGTCAACGCCGGACCGGTGCGTTGGAGGGAGATTGAGTTCGTCCAAGAAGAAGAAGAGCCGGAAGAGGAGGAGAGATGGGGTGAAAAGATGGGCTAAACAGTCTCCGGGTCGGGCCGCCCGGTTGCCTGAGGGATCACCGGACAGGTTTGATGGGTCTGCTCCTCCTGATCGCTCCACCTTCAACAACCCCACTTTCCAAGGTTCATTTTCTTTAATCTCTCTCTAGAATGGGATGCAAATTTTGGAGTTTTGATTTAGTTTGTCTTTTGGAATTCAGTTCTGGGATTCTCTTCTTTGGTTGAATGGTTTGGTGGTTGGTTTTATTTATTGGAATTTGAGCTTTCCAGAGCCAGAATGCTAGTTTTAATTTTCTTTGAGACCAATTGATCAATTTAAGCTATGTTCCTGTTTTCTGGAAAAGGTTCAGTCTTTAAGAGGATCCTTGGGTTCTTTCTGGTGACTAACAAGCTGACCACCTTCCCAATTGGAGGCTTTTGAAATCTTCCTCGGAGCTAATTGATAGACAACAAGAAGAAATTGCTTATGTTGTCTTTGTCTTTTATTACAAATGGCATGTTGGAATACAATCTCTCTGACAAACTAGTCAGGCTTTGGCGGCATTTTCTTATCAAACGTTTTAATCCTCAAATTGCATGTTACTGTAATTTTTCCTTACGGCCATAGCCCCTGATTTTTATTAAAATGTGATAGCATCCACAGAAAGTATCGAAGAGGCATGGTTTGATCCAGTTGCAATATTTGAATCGGACTGCGATGAAGATTTCCAAAGTGCTCCAGATGGTAAGTTTTTGAAATTTCAGTCACATGTGCATTCTTTTTCTTGTTCTGATTTATTAGATGTCTTTATACTTGAATTATTGAAACTCTTATTATTTGCAGAGATGTCATCTTTAAACGGCTTTGACCGTGTATCTGTATCTAGTAATTCGTCTGTGAAAGATGCCAATTGTGGAGAGTATAATGTCAATGGCCTCCATACCTCTTCTACTGATCGAATGCATAAACCAGGGGATTTTTCAACAGAAAATTCTGCAAACAACTCTGTCACTGTGGTTTCTCAAAGGAGCAATGTCCAGATCATGAATGTTAATGACGTTGATACCCAAACTAAATTTAATGATCATTCAGAAATTGAAGCAAATGAACCTGTGTTCCTTGATGAAATATCCTCCTCTGTGGATGAAGCATCTGCCAAAGAGGAAGGAATACTGGATAATTGTGGGATTCTTCCAAGCAACTGTCTGCCTTGTCTTGCGTCAACCGTTCCCTCTGTTGAAAAGAGAAGGTCACTAAGTTCTAGTCCACCGAGTGCAAGGAAAAAGGCTGCCTTAAAATTTCCCTTCAAATGGAAAGAGCAAGCTAATGCAAGTTTATGTAAGAACCAGAACTATCTTTAAGTGTATTAATATTTCACATGCACACAGTAGAAACAAATAGGATAATTTTTTTTTTTGTCATCATTATTATCTCGAGTATGCATTTTCTTTAGTCTTTAGCCGCAGTCTTGTTATTCATCAAGTAGTTATCCTTACGCTGGTTTTTATTCCTTTATCAAATCACTTGCATTGCACCCATGGGATTCTCAGTGTTTGGTTCTTTTCAAATTTAATATTAAATTGTCATCCACAGTGAATTTTCTCTTAGTACTTGGTTAAGTAATGTTGATCCATGACGTATTTTCTACCATCTCTCCTAGTTCTTTCCTCAATTGGTCGTTGATATTTACTTGTTAAAAGAAATGGTCATAATATTTTATGGTAGTTCTTAGTGTCCATTCATTGTAAGCATCTTGACTCTTTTGTCTAGTATAAACATTTCCTATTGTAATTCCTTTAACCCTTTTCTTTTTTTTATTTATGTTCAATTCCAGTTTCCTCAAAGATGCTTCTGCAAAGACCAATAGCAGGTTCTCAAGTTCCTTTTTGCCCTATAGAAAAGAAAATGTTCGATTCTTGGTCACATATTGAGCCAAATACATTCAAAGTTCGAGGACCGAATTATTTTAGGTAAGATTCTCAGAGGAAAGTGTTCAATTGGTTTACACACTAGTCCATGTATATATGTACATTCATATAGCATATCAGACATTTCATATTCTGCGCATACATTCAGACACTTTTCTTTTATGTTAACATAATCTAATGAAATAATGTCAGTAGTAATATTAGTGGGCATCCATTAACATATAAAAAATTCACTGTCATTCAAAAATTGAGATTCACTTATGCAGATCTATTGTTGCCAGAACTATTTTTCCACTAGACCATTGTAATTTGATCTTCTTTTATCGCAGGGACAAGAAGAAGGAATTTGCTCCCAGCTATGCTGCATATTATCCATTTGGTCTTGACGTATTTTTATCTCAGCGAAAAATAGATCATATAGCTCGTTTTGTGGAACTCCCTATTGTTAATTCTTCTGGAGATCTTCCTGCCATTCTTGTTGTAAATGTACAGGTATTTTTCTCTATCCCCCACCCCCTCCCTCTCTCCCTTTCTTCCTCTCTCTGTATGAATGCATATTTGTCTATTTTAAATTAGCCAGAGAATAATGGTTTTCAAGCTCCTAAGACAACTTAAATCCTTGTTTGCAGTAGCCTCAAGCCATCCAGCTGGGATTTGAAATTCAAAAATAAAATAAATAGGATAATTTAAATGCTCTCTAAATTGCCCAGAAGCTGTAACAAGTTAACAACTGAGGAGTTATACCCTGGCACCTATCACATTTATTTACCACACATGATTCCAACTTTAAAGCTCTCCCACTCTACCACACCATTCAC